TGTGGCTTAGTTATTGTGTGGGTTTCCTTTGTTTTCAGTGACTGTGTAGCTCACCATTGAGGATTGCAGAGAATTCGGAGTGGGATGCTGCCTGGAAGCTGCTACCACATGACTCTGACACATTGTGAAGGCCAACAAACACATTTTTGCAAAGTCAACTACATTAGTTTACAGTTAAAAAATCTGCCAAACCTGGAGGAAACCAGCTCAAGACTCCCACTCTACTTCCATACTACTCTGTTCAATCTCCACCCTTTGTTTTAGCTAAATACGGAGGATCACAACTGCAGCCTGCTGAAGTAGTTATTCTCCTGCAGATCCTTTGTTCGCTCAGGCCACAGGAGGTCAGGACAGCTGACCAGCTGCCTGGTCTGAGTTAGCTTGACCAGAAATTCTCAACAGATTAACCCATTTTATGTTCTGAACATTTCACACAGTGCACAAGTGTTTCGGAACGGACCTAATGTAGCAGACACAACCATCTGTCTGGAATCTGCTGCTGGAAATGTGCACTAACTCAAAAGCCATTATGTATCAGGTCATTTAATACATTCTGTCCCTGATGGGTTGAAAATGCCAGCTTCTGAGTTGCAGCCTAGGTTGTAGCCTTGGCGGGACCAAAGATGGTGTAAGAGGATTTCTGGGAGCCAATCCGTGTTTTCCCTTGATGCTCGGAAAAGGTTGGTTCTTAGTATTAAACAGTCGGATGGAAGAGGAATTTTACTTAAGAAAAAGACTCTTACTCTGCCTTTTTAGGTTTATTCATATCAAATTGGTAGAATAGAGATCTAATACTGAATTGGTCCACCTTAAGTATTACCACTGGAGGAATTTAATCCCAATGTAGCATTATGTAATGTAACATATGGAAAGGTTAAATCCACTGTCAGGAGCTGTGGTTGAGGTGCGAATGAACCAGCACCTTTTTGTTTTGGTGAAGCTGCTTACTTGTTAATGGAGAAAACTAGGGTTATGCCACACAGCACTATTGTCCAAATGTGTGTAATTGTATGAATGTGAAGCGGGGTGGATAAAAGAATGCTTTCTCAGCTAAATTGTCCATTGATATGTAGAATAAAATGATTATTGAGAAATTTAACCCATTCTGAGAAAACATGGTTCAGCAGTGTTTGGTAACATTATTAAAATAAACATTATTAAAGTGAACATTTTCCAGCCTCTGAATATGTATGGTGTTCAGCTCTCACCCAGTACGTTTTTTTTTTTAGCAACAGCTCTTTATCCGTTTCAAAGTGAATAACTCTCTTCAATCTAATTAGGTTTAATGAAAACCTATAATGGCATTAAGATAATGATGTTTCAGTTGGGAGTGCTGCAGTAATTGGGGATGAAATTCAAGATAATATGAAGCTGTGGCTACATGTTGAAGAAGACTGTGCAGTAAAGAAACAATCATGTGAAGTCCAAAGCCTTACAAATGGAAAAATACGTATTGTAGCTTATGGATTTTTTCAGATTTCTTTATGGTGGTCACAATTACCAAAGCCCAAAGAAATGGTAGAAAAGTAAAGTAGGAAAGATGCTACAAGATAAAATCATGGTAAATGTATGTACAGGGTCACTGGGGCTTTAAAAGCTGAATGCCAGGGTGAAAAATTAACTTTGGCAGCAAACCAGCCATGAATTCTTTACCATCATTTCTGTTTACATGGCTGCTGAAATAGTGAAAGTGTTTCGATGGGTCTTAAATCCTGACCCCACCTCCAGTTTCTGTGGAGGGTGGATAAAAAGTATGTTCCTGCCCTGGTTGCTAGCCTGTTTATGCTTACCACTGACTAATGTTCCTAATGACGTGGAGCCGGGCGAGTGAGCAGTAGAGCCAGAGAGAGAGAGAAGTGCACTCTCACAGCTGTCTGGAGACATGCAGGAGAGAGAGACATGTTTTTCTGGCTGTGGCCGTGCAATCAGGATTTATCTCTCTCTCTCACACGCACACGCACACACAGACACACACACACACCAGCAGTGTGGGGTACTTTGGAGAGGAGCAGTGAGATGAACAGCCTGGCCAGATGCTTTAGTTTACTGTGGGAACAGCAGAGCACTGGAGGCTGAAGGAGAGAGGAGGGAATGGTGATTAGACATATTTCCTGGTTCACTGCTTGGTCGAATTAGGTCACAGTGTAAACTATACAGGGTCTTAGTCAAACAGTGATGTGCTTGTATTAGAGATTTAGGAGTATCAAGTGGGTGGAGTTTGATTGTCCTGATGCAGTTAGCCCAACAAATCCTGTGCCCAAAGTGATTTAGAATAACTTCCTGTGACCTGTTTTGGGCTGTAAACAGTACTTGACACAACTGTAATTGACTGTTCGCTAAACCCGTCCCCCAACAGCAATTGTCCAATCATAGCTTAGCAACTGCAGTTAGGCACAAAGGCCCCTCAAATCTTGTTTTTTTTTTTCTCCATATGTCATGACCTCTACATGATCATCAGCTGTCTTTATACAAATAAATTAATTAATTAAATCTGCCCCCCTATTCCGGCTCCATACCTTTCATACAGCGTGGCAAGCCAGCATTTTGGCGCAATACTCCCAGAAAATACTGCAGTATGAAAGCGCCTATCAACTGGTGTGGATGCTGATTTTTTTAATTGAAACATGTAGCTTTAGCTGCAGTTTTTTAGCACGATATCGCAGTCATCAAGTGCATGGTTAAGACCCATTTACAGGGTTCTCAATTTAAAATCTAGAAACATTAAAAAGTCATCTAGAGACAGCGTTATGAACCAACTGATGGAGCTAATGACAAGTTGCCTTTGTCTCTTTGTCCGGGACCTGTCAAAAATGATAATTTAAGTGACAAATTTGCCGCTATCATTATTGTGAACTGCATTATGTGCCTAGCTAAAGGGGGTGGGGTTAGTCAACAGTCAATTCCACGATTTTCGGTTTTCTTCAGCCGCCTGAAAGTTAAGTGAAATATGAGTGCAGAGGATAAATGAAATGCAGTCTGAACCACAGTGTGGGACTCAAACAAACTCCAACTCTCACTGTCTCTATTCCCTCTTCCTCACACACAGCAGTGCCCACCCTCTCTCCTAAAAGCTGCGACTGGTTGTGGTTAGTAACCTCATTAGGCCAACTGTCCACATTTTATAGCCTCACTGGCATTTAGAAACCCCTTGTGACTGAAGGGTGCGGTATGAATCGGTTCTTGCAGCTACCCGCTGTCTCCCTCTCAGCCTCTCCGGTTGTTTTGGGTGGCACTAGCTGTGTGTATCTCTTGTTGTTTGGGATGCATGGATATTTTTTGCTCAGTTTCTCTCTCTCACCCTCTGGCCCTGCTCAGCTGCTCCGGCCATCTGTGCAAAGGCAAACAGAGAACAGAGGGATGGAAGGAGAGCGGTAGTGGTGGGGGAGGAAAGACATCGAGGAGGGGAAAACGTTTGGGAGAAAGGCAGGATCAGTGGAGAATGAAAGGAGGCCTTTTGACATGTGAGATTTAGTTTGGAGGATGAGTGAAGGATGACGGAAGAGGGGAAAGAAAGATGAGGAAGAGTGTGCGGGATTTGTTTCCAGGAAGCTTGTGGCATAAAGATGATGTCTGTCCTCTAGAAATAGGACAGTGAGTGTGTGCATACAAGTTTAGGTCAGTGGAAAGTAGGATGACTAGTGATGTCTGGATTTTAGAGTTGGACCAGCAAACATCAGCCAATAGTGAGCTCATTTTACATCTCGTTTTTTTCCCCCTGTCTCTTTTCTCCCTCTGTCCCGTCGTCTCTTTCTGTTCCCATGCTCCACAGGGCAAGCCTCTTCCTCTGGGCCGGCCTTTGTGTTGCCTCAGAGTTTGCCTCACCACTTACCCTCCTGCGCAGCCGGCTCCTCGCTCTGTTTGTAAACTTTAACAAGCCAGTTTCCTGCTACCCTTCCCACCACCACTTCCCTCTCTGCTTCTCTCAAACTTGTAAAAAAAACCTATGCTGTTCCTCTCGTCCTCCCATTTAAAAGTAACTGAGGAAAACACAATAAGAGACAGTTGTCTTATATTGATGGAGACAATGTATGATAGCTTGGATGACAGACGGCTGCCCTTTATCAGGCCTCATATGATTCACGTCCCACTTCTTGTCCTCAGTTGCTCATGTCTCTGACTGCTCTGTTTGTGGGTCGACCTTTCTTTGGGTTTATTGTATGTGCCTTGACCCACTTAGCACATACACCCAAGCCTTTTTCATCCTTACCCTACTTAGTGTTTCTCATCCATATGCAGGTACTACAGGTGGCACTGACTGTGTGTGTGTGTGTGTGTGTGAGTGTGTGTGTGTGTGTGGAATTTGCGTGCTAAAGCTTTTTGCACTCTGTTAAGTGTACTATCCCAGAAAACTAGTCTTCCACACTAGTGACTCTGATGCCATTTTGTACCAAAGAAGCCAACCCGTAGCAGCTACTCTGGCCAAGTGTGTCACTGAGCTTTTTAGCATCACAGAGGGGACCATTTGCCACTGCAGTTGGCATTGAAATTAACGAAGGCTATTTGTAGAATGTGTTGTTTCTACAGTAGACATGTCTTCCTCTACCCCTTCTTCTGTGATGTCTGAGACAGTACACACTTTCAACTCATCTAAAAATGTAGATCTAATTGTTTATCCTAAGGTTGCCTGGACTTATTAAGCTGTGATGTGTTTTTGCAGCACCTTTGTTTGTGCCTATGTCTTTCTCTATGTGTTATGTTGTCCTAGGTAGGCTTCAGTCCTCCCCTGGGTTTATGCAGCATCTCAGTCTCCTATAAAAAGTAAAAAGGCACATCCTGTTCCATTTATGTCCTGCAGTCAATATGCCTGCTGATTCTTGCATAAAAGTATTTCTCTGTGTATGTGTGATGCTGAAGCTGTAAGAAGGTACAAGCCTCCGCTTTATCTGACTCTTAGACATTCCTGGGGCTCTGTCTGCTGATCAGAGAGACAGCTACTGTTCATGTCTGGTCTTGCTGTTGGCTAACTGTGCTGTACTCTATATTGTCCTGTCTCTCTGCAGACTAGAACTTGCTATCTCCAGAACACCTGTAGACCTGTGGACATCCTGTGAGATTTAAGTCAGTCAGCCGTACCCTTCTGAGACGGACCACTACCACTCAAGGGGAGATGAAGCCGGATGGGGTTGTCACGGCAGCGCTGGAGCCAATGGAAACGTTGGAATCCAATCCAGTAAATGAGGCAGCACTGGCCGTGGGACAGGAGCCCAACCAGGCAGCCAGTCCAGAAGAGGACAAGATGCCACAGCAGCCTGTAGGTGAGACCGTCCAGGTGGGACCCCAGGCAGACCAGGCCAAGGAAACCCCAGCTGCCAAGACCGGCAACAAGACTTCAGGAGACTCCAAAGCCAAGACTACAAACAAAGCTACGGCCAAGACAAAACCTGGTACCACCAACCCAACCAAGACCACATCAGGCTCACGGCCCAACACAGCCCAGAGCCGCCTCTCAAATGGCGTGTCTAAGCCCCAGACCAATGGAGTGGCTAAGAAGACCCCGCCTGCTGCAGTCAAAAAGAGCACCCCAACCACGGCACCCTCCAAAAAACCAACAGGACCGGCCGCAGCCCCAGCCTCCAAAAGCAAAGTGGGCGAGAAGAAAGCCACAGGGGCTGTCCCTGCCACCGATGGCACAAAGTCGATGACCGGAACAGCAGCAGCAAAGAAGACGCCATCCACACCTGCTAATGGTGTCAAAACCAGCACCACTGCAGCAGCTGCTAGAAAGCCCCCAGGTTGGTGAAAATGTTAGCACAAAACAAAAAGTTGACATCAGTGCGAAAACTTCAGTCCAGAATGTAGGCTGTCTGGCAAAAACATTCACAGTAAGTCTAGCATGAAATGTTTTCCCAGCTCTAACACTAATGAGGAGTGTTCATTGTAATGTGATAACATGCGGATAGATGCACATAGGATGAATTCAGCACACATATTAGACATGCCAGAGTGGCTGCTGCTAATGTAGAAATGCATCTGCCCTAAATACTTATGACCTACTGTATGAAAGATATGTCTACCTGACCTATATCCTCGACGTATCATACTATATACTAGGGCTGCAACTACCGATTATTTTCATTGTCGATTCGTTTTTGGGTTCAGAAAATGTGGATCACTGCTTCCCTAAACCCACGTTGATGTCTACAACCCAAAGATATTCAGTTTACTGTCATTGAGGAGTAAATAATCCAGAAAAAAATTACATTTGAGTAGTATCTGTGCAAAGTTGGTCACTAGGGAGGTGTTTTCACATTCCTCTACTGAAAGGGGAGACGTCCATATATTTCCCTAAATTCTGAGATTCAAATGAACCCCGGGCAAGCAAGGTTTGGTACCAAATTTGATAGCCAATCACTGTCAAGCAAATGCCACTGGCATAGAAACCTGAAACCTCTAGCGCAGAGTAGACACTAGAGATGTGTTGACCACAAACATGGTAGAGTCTGCAGTTTCTGGATGTAAACCGAACCCTGGAGCTTCCTTCCTACTATCTACCATGTAATAACAATGGGACATTTTGGACGCACTGTAACATCGCAGCAGGTAATATTTTATGTTTCACAGCCACGAACGCTGTGTCAGCTAGCTAACAAGCTGAAAAACAACATAAACAAATATAAGATGCTAACCACACTTAACATTCTGTTGCATCTGCTAGTCACTGATTTTTGGTGCACAACACTCCTGATCTGAGTCTTCATCTGCCTGAGGCTCAACATGGCTGAATCTCTCCAGTGTTTTCCCCCAAAGCCAGCCATCTTTATGCACACCGCTCTTTCACATGTCAGCCCAGCGCAGTCACTGGTGGTGGCCGTGTCACTCATAGATCCAAAAAGAAAGAGTAGGTGTGCTTCCAGCCCTTTTTCAGAGAATTTTTAACTTTTTATATGGGAAAATGATAAATAAAATATTAATCATTGCAGAGTATTTTTAGATACTGTACAGCTTGTCTGGAAGGGAACTTACTCATGACTGATGAAGCGATTTTGAAATTGTTGGCATTTAATTTAATAGTACAACTAACTGATTAATCAAATAATCATTGCAGCACTAGTATATTACACTATACTATATAATACTTTTTTATTGTTCTTTACATATTTCTCTCTCCTCTCCTACAGCTCCCAAGCCTGCCTCCGCAACTCCCACCAAGCCTAGCTCTGCTGCCTCACCCAAGCCCCCTGTTTCTAAGACAACCAGGTACACCATTTGTGGAGTGTGTGTGTGTGTGTGCACGAGCACACACAGGCCTGAAAGAGATTTTCTGTGTGTCTGTAGAAAGCACAGGCAGCTGTCTATAATTGGTCTTCTTCTCAGACATCCTCCTAAGTGGGCTCCGTTTTATTAAAAGCCATTCCAGTGATTTATGAGCAAATCAGCAAATTTGCTCCTGAACAGCAGCAAATCCAAATAAATTGCCAAATAGATGAGAACTGGGAGGGGGGAATAAGTTCAGCATTATAAAGCTGCTCAGTGCCAAGTGAAAAGCAGTTGGTTCAAAAAGGCTTCACTTGGCTACAGGTTCAAAGAAGACCCTGTTAAAGAAAAGCCACCCTGGAGGAATGAGGGACAATGATCCCCCACATAGGGGCTTGGAAGGACTGGGTATAAGTAGGCCAGCAACCAGCCAATGTCAGAGCAAGCCTTAGAGGAATGCCTCACAGGGTTTCAGCAGAGAAGCATTATACAGCAGCATTATTAATAAAACAAGTTTTGGGAAGGAGCGGGGTTTAGAGGGAGGAGGAGGAGCAGTTGGAAGAATTAATCGAGAACAAGAGAACTGTTTTTTTTCTTTAGAGTGAGAGCTTGTGTGTCTGTATACCAGCATGTGAGGTCAACATGTGTTCCTCACCTGAATCACACTGTGTGCATGGTGCTGGGTCCTGAGGTGACTTGGCGATGGACCAGGAGTCCAGGCTGAACGAGGCCTTTGTCTGAGACAGAGATGATCATGATCAGATAGAGCTTTTGGAAGCCTGACCGTGGGCCAATCCCACTGCCTCTTCCTCTTGTTTGTTTGTGTTTTCTTCCTTACTGTTATGCCACCATGGTTTATGATATGATGTGTTATGTCACCTTGTTGGTATGTCTGTGTGTAGACACATTGTTCAGTCAGATGCACTTGCGTCAAACAGAGTTAACCCTCGTAGCAAGAAACCAGGAGAATAACCACATACTGCAAGAACCCCCAGGAAGATGCTTAACGGGATAGTTTGACATTTTGGAAATTTGCTTTCTTGCCAAAAGTAAAATAAGCATATATGGTTACCAGACTGTCAAATATGAAAATTGGTATTTGGCCTCAGAGATCCAGTAATCCATCTGGGCTAAGAGGAACTGAGCATGACTTGCATGATGTCATCACAAGTATGATTTTTGTTTTTTTGGCATCTTTCCCTATTTTCTCATTTATTTAGTCACTGCCATGAGACTAACATGACGTATACACTAAGTTGCGAGTCACTTGCTTCCACCTGACAGAAAGGTGTTTCAGGTGATGATGCCTTAAGTCCCCCACCTGCCTCCACACTCCACAAGCAACAAGTAGTAGTTGGATTGTGGGGATTACACTCAGATTACAGCTTTATACAACAATTGATGTACAAACATCTAATTAAAAAGCATTACACAAGGGCACTCTGGTAATCACAGCTGCAGAACACAATGTTCATTGTGCTACCTGAACTGTTATGGTGATTTTATTCATAACCTTCATCATGATCAGCCAGTTTTCTATAGAACATGAACCCCCAGCTGTTCTTCAAATTTAAAAATCAAATCAGCGAACCCAAATGAATGCTATCAGAGTTCAGATCAACACTTTAAATTGTAAATACTGTTGGTATTTTAACAGCGACAGAATAGTTGTTGACTATTTGAGTAGCATACATGTAACATTCCTCAACAATCTCTCTCTCTCATTGTCATTGGTAAAGGCATAGTTTGGTATGAGGTACTTACCGTATTCTGCTCCGCTCATTGCATTACGCCACAGATCAGCACGGACTGTATAAAAGAAGTGGACGTAGTCATCGTGACATCACCCGTTGGTTTGAGAACTGCTGTTTTGAAGCCTGGAGTTTGGCCTTCGCCATGTTTGTTTATCGCAAACAGCGCCAGCGGATGTGACCAGTTGGACGAGACTTTAGAGCCAGCTAGCTTAGTTAGATAGGTGCATCTGTATTTTAACATGTTAACTGTCGTTTTAAGGATACGAGTCACTCTAGCCTGATTGACACGTCGCCATGGTAGCGACTTGTTAATCACAAGACAGTCCCGCCCTGAATCATACTCTGCTTTATGGTCTATTTTTTCCTCTAAATGGGACCATAATTCACTAAATGAACATCATGTTGTATTGAAGAAGACTTCAAACTAGCGATTGAGACCATAAACTCATTAGGAAAGTGTTTACTGAGGTAATAAATCAGGTGAGAAGTAGGGTCATTTTATCATTATTTCTAAGGTGCCGGACTTCTTTTTGCAACCAGAGGAGTTGCCCTCTGCTGGCCGTTCGATAGAATGTAGGTTTAAGGGACTTTTGAATGCGCCTCACTTTTCAGACCCGGAGGTTCCCGCTTGGTCAGAATGTTGGAAGATCAGTCTGAAATCAAACTTCACATTTCAAAGATGGCACGTGCTTGTGTTTTTCCGGGCTGTGCCGCTCTACCTTATTTGGAAGTGAACGGATTCCAGTCCTCAGTGGCACCAAATATCTCAGTAAAAGGGCAGTTCTTAAATTTTGCCTTAACTATTTTGGCCATAATCTCAAAATAGACCTTGAACTGTATGAGTCCAAGTCGAGAACAAGAAGAGCTTGAATGGGTCAATAGCCCCTTCCCACCCCTCATTAGTAAAGTGGATGCCCGGCTCGTGCTCCCACAAAGCCCTTGTTTTACTCGTCAAGTGACATGCTGGCTTTTTTTTTTTTTTTTTAATAAAAAGACTAATGAGCTCTGTTGGTTACACGCCAGGTAAATCTGTTAAAAGAGTGAGCTGAAAACTAGCTGAGGCTAATATTGTAATCAGGGTAAGATTAGATTATTAGTGTGTATCTAAGCATGCACTTTTGATGCAGTATTTTGTGTTGTTAGTGTGAGTCAGTAAAATGTGTTAGAGAGGTATAACCATTACTGACATTAGGCTTCTCTGACAGCACCATGTACCCTTGTAGGCATACTTTTTAATTCTGTGTGTGTGTTTGTGTACTTAAGCATTTGTATGTGTGACGTGCTTTGACGGGGCCATACATTTCTGCTTTAATTAGATTTACACCCCACCCCCAACACACACACACACACACACACACACACAGACACTACACAGTGGGTCTCTCAATTTACTCAGTGTTACTGTGAAGCTCAATTGATTTAATTCCATCTGCAGCAGGTTCCAGTTATCAGACAAAAGTGCAGAGCAAATGCAGGTTCACTAAGTGACATCAATCTAATTTAAGGCCACTCACACGGGGCTCCTCCTATTCAGCTAGAGGTTTTAGCTAAATTAAATTAGGTTTTTTAGTTGTTGCTGCCAGTGACTCTTAGCTCGTTCTTTGTCAGGCAGGTTTTTATTTATTTATTTTTTTTAAACAGACTTTTGACTGCTTTGTATATAAAAACCTTTAGATGTACACTTTTAGTAAGATAGTCTTTTCTGTCTAGACGAGTCTAATAGTCACAGCATTTCACCGCTTAAATAACTATCTCCCTTCACACAGTGCATTTTACCCGTCTACGAAAGCAGCAGCGGGTCAGTGAGGGTGTTGATAGTCTCCTCTATAGTAATATATTGTTTATGCACCATAGGCTATGACTGCTATGTAGTGAAGTGTACAGCTAAAGTGAAGATGTTGCTGTTTTTGTGTGGCATGTCAGCGTGTGCGCCCACAGCACACGGCCTGCGACAGCGAACATTTGAGCCGGATTAATGTGCAAATGGAGAAAGTAGAAATCATGGTGGGTTGTTTGAACATTACGTCTAAGCATGGTGGGATGTATACTAACAGTTGAGGTGTCAGCTTGTGTACATAAATGCACCAGTTTTTGGCTTCCTTGGGCAGCTCCAAAGATGATTCCTGTCCAGTTATGCATTTCTAATTGGGGATTGGTGTGCAGCATGCAAACTGCCCAACAGGACAATATAGCACATGGTGCATTCACTATATATATATGCCTCAGTGTGTGTACATATGTGCTGCTCATGGACGCTTGCATAGTAGGAGCAGTATGTAATTAGGATGCAGAGCATGTGTTCATTTGCTGGTAAGTCAGTATGATGTGGGGGTAAAGGGGGAAGGAGCTGCGGCATACGTGCTGGCCTGCCGAACACGTAGTACATGCGCATGTGCCGCTGAGCTGCTTTTTTCCTTACTGCCCTGCTGTCTGCAGATGCAGCAGTGTGAAGTAAAACAAAAATGGAGGCAGTGGAGTATGGAAGCTACATGGCTGAATAAGTCATGTGTCTCTGCTGAGCGTCCATCACTGCTGTCAGAGATACATGGAGACTGTGAGGGCGGTGCATACATTTGTGTGTGTGTGAGAGAGAAAGAAAGATGCAGAGGTAGAAAGAAGAAGCTGAGGACCAGAGGGTTTCTCAGTGTGAAACGGAGTGAAACATTGCCCTACGTTAGATCAGAGGACAGAGCAAGGGTATTCAGTCCTTACTGTACAACCTCAGAGGAGGAAATGGGCGATCAGGTGGGTTTCCATTTTTGCTGTCACCTTCCTGCCATCCACTCAGCCACCCATGTTCCCACATTAGTCATGCTGTTTTCATTACTGAGGGTCCCTCAGTGATGATAAATTTTTATTGCAGTGAGTTGAACACAACCCTCCTCATGATCTAACAAATTACTGCTGATGTGTGGTGAGCGGTAGTCGGGCTCCTTGCCCCAGACACCATTCGACAGTAAAGCATGAAGCAGATGACATGTTGCGCAGGCTGTAAATCTTCCGTCCTGCTATGGGTGTGGCCCATCACTGTGATGCAGTCTTCCGCTGCCATGATTTTATAGATGTAGCCAGAGAGCCAATTACCAAATGGATTTTGAGGAAATGAGTCAGATGGAGGGAAGAAAAGAGGGGCAGAAGGAGGTGTGTATATGTTCCACTGTGAGACAAAGGTTTAAGTGTGCAAGGGTGTGTCTTTGGGTGTGATCAGATATAATGGATATTGGAGAAAACAAATTTTGGAAAGCAGTG